CCTCTTTGGGAAATGAGCTCAAAGCATTCTAAGATCTATGGTGTAGTGTATTTTAATGCTTACTAAATGGCATTACAGAAATTATCTCCCTCAGATAAAGCTGCTTAGCTTGTTCAATTAGGAATATGCCAAGTCAAGCTGTGTAAAGAATCATTTAAAAGTGGCTCCAGAGATACCAGTTCCAGAACAAGCTGGTCTTCCAGAAGCCCAAGTGAGAAAAAGGACCTATTCTAGACCGTCTTGCACCTTGTATAATCATATACAGCTGTGCAACCTGAGTGAAAAAGACTACCACACAAAACACTATAAAAGAAAGTGAGGCCCCGAGTGTCTATATACAGCTATCACTGCATACTCAATGCTAATTGTGTTGGTACCAGCAGTTATAGTGAGCTCTACTGCTGACAGTGGAATGCATACTGGAATCTTGACTGGGTGCTCCAACAACTTAATTTGTTACTGAGAGAGAGAGAGGAAATATCCAAGGGAAGGAAATATCTTCATAAAGCCATGGAGAATTGACCCTTCGCTGTAAACATAGGAAGGAAAAAGTGTTCAGTGTTAAAAGTCAGTCACTTCCCCTTTCTCATCTCATTTTAATCTCTACACAGATAGACAATGTCTTTGGAAAGTAGTTCCCGGGAGCAGACTTTTATAAATCCATCCCCCACCAGTGCTGTGGCTGTTTCTATGGTGATGCTGCTGCAAAGCCTGTTATTCTCCTTCCTGTGAGTGCCTTCACCAGATTTATTATGAAGCAAGAGAGTCCTGCATGTGAAACTTTTATTTCATTTCCTCATTAACTTTCCCTCTTCTCTGCTTATAGCCATTTTCTCCCTGTTCCTTCCTATCCCCTCACCCTTACTTTTGAAATACCTGGCCAGAAAAGGGAACCTAGCACCAATCAGGTGTGTATTAAATGTGTGGGTGTTTGACTTACACTGTGTTCTCTGCTCAGACCTATCTGATTCAGGCACAGTGGGGACTGCTGTTGACTGGAAAAGCCACGGAAGAGGAGATAGCACCTACTTTACTGTGACATTACACTCCATATTCTTCATAGAAATCATGTTATGATATGAATATGGCATAACTAAGGTATGTTTTATGCAAGATGGGTCATTTGAGATATCACTGGAAAAGTTATGATGTACTGAATGTGATTATCCAATGTGTATGCATGTATCATTTCTGTATCTAAAGTCAGGAATACTGACTATGTAACAATTACAATTGTGAATGTCCTTGGGAAACACCCACTAGACAGCAGGCCATCAGCCTTGATGGGCCATTAGGAAGAGAACAATAGAACTTTGAAAATGCTAATCTCCCTCCTTCCTGAGAGGTTTACTGGGATACTGCATTGACACAGCAGTCAGGTGACCGTGTCACCCGATATTGGACAATGTCTTAACTTGCTGGTACTTTTCCACTGTAGGGGGATGGGGGTCAAACAAAGGATTTCCTCCTTAGGTAAATCCTTTTTAAGGCTGGGGAGGGAGTTAAGCTTGACTCTCCTCCATTGCCTGTGCAGGAAGGAAGACTGCTAAAAACACCTGCAGGGAAAGGCAGGGTTGAGTCCAGGCTGAGACAGGGGTCCAGTCTGTAAAGAGAAATAACTGGAACTCTAAGCTACAGAAACTCTGCAACTTGCCTAAAACAACCTTGAGGGTGAGAAATTACATTTTGTAACCTGTTTCTTGAGTGTATTAAGCGTAGTTTGCATGTTTTGTTTTATTTGCTCAGTAATCTGCTTTGTTCTGTTTGCTATCCCTTATAATCACTTAAAATCTGCCTTATGTAGTTAATAAACTTGTTTCTGTTTATTTTAAAATCAAGTTTGTGCAATTTATAATGAGGGAGGGGGGCAAATTTATGAGCTTACATTGTACAGATTTCTCTACAGCGCAAGATGATATTATTTTGGGTACTTTCCAGAGGGGAGCTGCACTTGAGTGTTGGGCAATTTCCTAGCTGAGTCTTCCCATAGAGAGTTGCTTGCAGAGTCTGTGCCATTCTACAGCTGGTGTGTGCATGCTGCCAGAGAGCCTGATTCAGCAAAAACAGTGAGAGGGAGCCCAGGCTAGTGGAGCAGGCAGGCTCATTGAACAGGGGAGGCAGGTTTGTATAATTTTTGGTGGTGCCCAGAACGGGTCCAAGTCACCCCCCCACACACACCTCCCTAAGTGTGGGAAGGGGGAGGTGTCAGGCTCTGGGAGGGTGTTTGGGTGCGGGCTCTAGGCTGGGGCAGAGGGGTGGGCTCTGGGAGGGAGTTGGGGTGTGTGGTCTGGGCTGGGGCAGGGCTGCAGGAGGGGGCTCAGGGCTGGGACTGTGGGTTGGTGCAAGGCGTGAGGGCTCTGGCTGAGGGCACAGGCTCTGGAGTGGGGCAGGGCCGGGGATGAGGAGTTTGGGGTCCCGACAGGCTGCCCCAGGGCTATGGCCAGAGAGGACTCCCCCACCAACCCTCTCCCCCACTGCTGCTGCCCCTCACTGTAGCCTCACTGGGGGTGGGGGATGGGACTGCCCCTTGCCCAGCGTGGGGCAGGAGCAGTGACTGTGGGCGGGGGTGGGAGGGATGCAGGATGTCACAACAGTCACCCAAGCCCAAGCAGCTCAGGTCCAGGAAGCCCCCTCACCTCCCATGTGGTGGGTGGATGCTGGAGGGGGAGGGGGCTTCCTCTCCTGCTGCAGCCTGCTGCCCAACTCCATAGCCTCACGAGAGGGGGCCCTTGCCCCGTGGCTGCGGGCTGGCGGGGGGCAGGATCACAGGGTCAGACACTCAAGGAAGCCCCAGCAGCTGCTCAGATGAGTGAGGTCCAGAGATAGCCCTGCCGGAACCCCTCTTGGCGTGGCGTGCTGAGGGGGGGAAGGGAGGTCTGCCAATAATGTGTGCACCTCCTCCCCTCCTCCCCCTCCTATAGTGCAGCAGCAGCCAGCTGCCTCAGCCTGCTCTTGTGCTGTAGCGTAGCCTTAGGCAGCAGCAGTCGGCAGTGCAGGCAAGGGAGAGCAGCACGGCTTTTAATCAGGCAGGAATGCTCCAGGGCCAGGGGAGGCGACGCGGGAGGCAGCAGGCAGGGGCCAGGGGATGCTCCACGCAGGGCTGGGTGAGAGACCCGGCTCCAAACATTAATGTCACTGCTGAGCCTTTAGCATATCTCACCAGTTCTGAACTCTGAAGGAAGAAAAATAAAAAGGAGCAAAACCACGAAGTACTGCTCTGAGGAGTAAAGTTCCAGTGGGTTTCACTCCCAGCTTATTAGAAAGACGAGGTAGTTGAGGTATCAGAGTAGCAGCCGTGTTAGTCTGTATCCGCAAAAAGTAACAGGAGTACTTGTGGCACCTT